CAAGTAAAATTCAATTCATGTATTTAAAAAAAAAATTAATAAACATAAATAAGCAAAAAATGTGTTATCATTTAAAAAGTCGAAAAAAGCAATCTAAATTTTAGATTCCTATTTAGATATAGAAATGCAAAAGTATACAAGACATTCTGCAGAATTTTTAAATTTACCGAATCCCATATAGTGGTATTGTTTTCTAAGAACATCTGTCACAACACTGGTTGATATTGAAGCAGATATGGTGGTTAGAAAACATCGCATGTGGCAAGGGGATTTATTAAAAATTCTGTTTATGTAATCTTCAAGTAGTTTTAACTAGAATAGCTTATAGCTGAAATAAATAGACTCTCTGTGTGTCGTCTAAGACCTTTTATGAAGTCTCATTTATTAATAATTGTTAAAATATTATTACAGAATTTGTTTTTTCGTGGGTATATAATTTAATACGACCTTTCTCATAATTTTCCTAAAGGTTTTATAATAAAATAATTCAATTCCCGTCTGTTGTTTTAGCCCCGACGCTGGTGTCGTTATCCATATGGGAATAATTAGAGCTTAGGACCCTCCCGAGACTGTAAATACAGCTTCCGCCAACATTATAGTTTTCAGTTCTACGTAATCCGCCATTCGGCTGAATTATTTCAAGCTTCTCGTCTCCCAGTCGTGCGTTAATATCTCAAACACGAGTGTCTGCCTTGCCCCCTAATCAAGATGCAAATTTTTCCCTTAATTAGCTTTTTTCTCTACCGATTCATGAAATGTTAACCGCATCGCAGCCGCACTCCTACGAACTTAGAATTACAATAATCCCCATTAAAAAAGCTCGAAGCTTTCGAAATTTAAGACGCTGACCACTTAACGTAATTACAGAACAACGAGTCAACGAACCGCATGAAAAACTTGTAATCTACACATCAAACGCGCTTAATTGGCCAGAACCGGACATTTATTTTCGCGCGACTGAAAGCATGCAGCGAGTCGGAGGGTGGGCCACTGGATGAAAGCTCAAGGCCAACGATAATAGTCGCAAGCACTTGGAGCTTTTTAATTCGATTTGTATTTGCTCGTATTATGGCACGTTTGATTTTGTTGGACAATCTACCGGAATTGAGAAAAAGTTTGCCAAAGCTCAAAGCTTCTGATACGAGGGCTATTTACATCGTGTTACTTTGTGCTTTTTTCCCTATTGTGCGACAAACGTGACGTTATCACACCGATTCGACTTTTATCCCGAAAGACTTTCAAAAGAGATAGCATCGGTATTGAATGCTTTGCCTCATTACTAAATATTTAAATAAAATAAAAAAAACTTCATACGAGTAATTTCAGTAAAACCAATTGAAAAGAACAGACGTAATTTGTTATTTCCATCTATTTCCTCTTTCAGCGCAACAGGTAAAACAATACCGAATTGCTCGTGCAATTTCCCATTTTATTTTTGCATGTAATAATTATTGTGTTACCCTATTTTCCTAAACAGGGTCTTGCAATTACCTCCCTTTAGCCAAACATCGGCAACCCTAAAATTGCCTTGTACTCTCATTAACTCCAAATCAATAGAACCGAGAAAAACGTATCAAACGACCATTACCATAAACCAGCCACTAGCGCAATGGCAACCTTCCAGGCCCGGATTAAACGAAAATTTTATAGTTAATTGAATGGGTGTCACCGTTTAATTGACAAAGCCAGGTGAATGGATCAGAAACATCTCAGCGTAAATAATTGAAATTTGGGAATTTTTATTTTGAACGGATTTTTTTTAGGTGTTGGCGCAGCATCCATTACCCCGACTCTCGTTTTAATTATATGGAAGCGGTGCTACGTTAAAATTTTCTCAATTACTTTGAATATTGTTATCAGTAATTGATTTTAGGGCTTGATCAAAGTGAAAAACTCGCATGCGAATTAATTCGATTTATAGTGGGAGATTTTGGCAAAAAACAAGCACGATTGGAAACTTTTTTAGAGTTTAGCACAATGTGCAAAATTTGGATTGGGTTTTTCACAGCTGTTTTACTTAAAAGATTTTTACAAAAAATATAAACATTCATTCGTCGTTAATTTTAAAAATACTCCCCCCACATGTATTCTTAAAGTAAAATTTAATTAAAGCAAAACCAACATCTAATTAGTTGTGATTTTCTTTCATTTTCATAAAAAACATATAATCAAATTAACAAACACGATTGGAAACTTTTTTACAGTTTAGCTCAATGCAAAATTTGGATTGGGTTTTTCATAGCTGTTTTACTTAAAAGATTTTTACAAAAAAATATAAACATTCAGTCGTCGTTAATTTTAACCAAATACTCTCAGCACATGTAATTCTTAAAGTAAAATTTAATTAAAACAAAACCAACATCTAATTAGTTGTGATTTTCTTTCATTTTCATAAAAAACACATAATCAAATTCAATTTTTCTTTACTTAACTTTTTTTTATTTGTCTGGAATAAGTTTAAAACGTCGTGCTTCTTTCTTAAAAACTAATTCTAAAGAATTTATTACATGTTGTTTGAAATCTTTGAAAACATTTTGTGTAACACTTGAAAATTTAATATTTTTGATTTATTCCTCTTCTAAATCAGAAATTATGCAATTTATTTCTTGGTTTATTTAGTGCCTTATCGCCACAACTAGTTTTAATAAATCAAAAAGTATTGTAATAAAAGCCCCTCTTCCCTATATTTCCGTGATCTTGAATAAATCTCCCTATTTTTATCTTTTCCCGGATTACCGTTAAGTGCCTCTTTGCACAATTTGAAGCTCAATTCGCATCCGATGCAAATTGATTGAATCGCGGTCCTATTTCACTACCAACTTTTATTAAACTTATTGCCGCGATTTCTCTCCCAACATTAATTAACAATCGTTATCATTTTTATCACTTTATTATAACTCTCTCGACACGAGTGCAACCTATAAAAATATTTACACAATCTAACCACATTTTAATGAATATATTGCCCTTTAATGTCCCCCAATCGGTCCACCACCTGTCGAAAATATGTCGCCGGCATGCAGGACCGTACCGGACAAAAACTAAGTTATGCTGAAGTTTGGGAAATTCCTGGAGGGTAATTAGCCGACTTTGGGGCGCCCACCCACCCGCAGAAAATTCGGTACAACATCGAACTCACCTAGGAAGAACTCGGGAATTTGCTGGACACGAAACCAGTTAGCACGGGGGATTTCACTGGGGTGTAGACCGGCAGCACCCTGTGGTAGGATTGCGACTGTGCGCCGCAGGTTTACAGTTATATAGACAAGTCCCCGCCACGAAAGACGTCTTCGGGAGGGCGATGATGGGCCACGATGGGAACGATGCGTGGGTGATGGGCGATCGAACCCACGCTTTTTCCATATTTCCAAAATTTCGCTGATCGATAACGCAATTTACCTGATAAATGACAACGAAATAAAAATAATGACGCGAAGATAGGAGGAAACGACATAAAATCCAGCGGCCGACGACAGGATAAATCATTCTCAAACATACACACGGCGAACCAAAGAACTCAAATGTTTAATTGACACTAAAATATTTAGTTCAAACTATAAACAGTATACTGTCGTAAAATATTACATTTTTGAATGCAATTTACGGTAAATTATGTAGAACTATACCCTGTGAGAAAAAAAGTATTTTAGGTTTTTTTTGTTCAGTTTGGCGAGTGTTAATTTTAAAGTTTTGTAAAAACTAGTTTTTGTTCATAAAATGCTTTTATCAAAACGATGTCACATAATTGACATAATTGGACATGGGTATAATGATTACTGAGTGAACAGAAAACAGTTTAAATAATATACAAGTTGAAGTTTTATGGCAAACTTTAACTAAAATGCAAGAAATATACAGAGTAATCTGTTTTTTTTGTTACAAATTGAGAGAGGTATAAAATATTCAATTTTAAGACAAAAGATTCCTATAAACAAGTATCTACAAATACAGTGTAAGAGAGCTATATCCCCTAAAAGAGGTACGTTTTTTAATCGGTTTTACACAATGTTTCAAAAACCATTTTAAATAAAATTACAAAATTTGGTATAGTTGATGATAACCTTTATATACCTAAACAAACTCAGAAATTTAATAATATCGAATTTTTTTAAATTTTCTTACCACTTTCAGCAACAAAATTTTAAATTCCATGGTTTCTCACAAAAAATGAAGT